CCCCCCCTCCCATAAAAAAAGCCTTTAATAATTTTTGTTATCAGGGGTCTGTTCAGACATTTTGTGAAAGGTCCGTTTTTGTATAATTGTGAAAAAATTACTTGTAATTTGTGAATATAAAATAAACGTTAAGTCACATTCTTTCAACCAGGGTCCTGCTTTTGCGAATTTGTGCAAATAGAGTCCTGTTACTGCAAAAAACTTTTTCAAGGAGTTTTTAAATTGTAAAGACATACAAGATTATGCTCAACACTGCGAAATTATAAATAAAAAAATTAAATTTTAAAAAATAAACAGCAATTGTTGCTACTAAATTAGAGATGCAACATACAAATATTTGGTATTTAGCCTATACTGCTCAGCACAGAATATTAATTTCGGACAAATAAAGGAAGTAGCGTCTGCCGAAGACAAAATTCAGTTCGCTTACATTTGTTTTCTCCCCCCTCCCCGTTCCTAGGATTGGTTTATCAAAACAATAATGAAGATAAAAAATTTGTGAAGGTTCCGATTAAAAGATAAATTATTTGTGAAGGGTCCGTTTTTAAGTTAAAATACTTTGTGAAGGCTCCGTTTTTATGAAAAGATATTTTGTGAAGGGTCCGTTAACGGACCCAAATTTCTTCCAAACAGACTCCCGGTCATGATCAGATTTTCCTGTATAAGATGCCAATTTTAAAGGTCATAAGATTAGTCCTCAAATATACAAATTCTTAAGTAATGAAATTATACACAAAACCATACTTTCTCAGAAAAAAAAAGATATATATATATATATATATCTTTCAACGGATTTAGATTTTTGACTATTGAAACAAGAGAGCCGCAATTTGGAAAATATAGATTCGGGAAAGCAATCAGAAGTTTGAGTCCCTACTCTATAGTTTATTTTTTCACTGATTATGCTATACCTCAGAAACACTTAAAACTGGATTAAATTCATGTTATAATTTTAATTGTTATAATTAACTATGTTATAATTTTAATAAAAATAATAAATAATTTTAATATGTAAATAAATAAATATAGAAACAAAAACATTAATTCAAGACTGTTCTTCAATTTATTGAAACTCATTTCAAAGGCATTATAAAAGTAAGAAAGATGTTATTATGACACATTTACATGAAGTTTTAAAGAAATAAATTACAAAAGCATTATTTACAGATCACGCATATAACTTTAAAATAATTAATCATCATTATATTAAAAGTAATGAAATTTATAAGGCACATTTTACAAATAGTCACAAGGACACTCCTTGTCAAGGACTACTGAATTAGTTTTCAGTAGAAAATTAAAGATAGTTGTCAAGATAATTAAATAGTATGAATGCATAATTATGTATAAAATGAATGAAATGAAATTGTCTCAAATATTATATTGTGAAAATTAGTACATTTAACAAGGTAGGTAAAAAATATATACAACAGATAGATACATTTTATTTACAAACAACTAAATAAACAAATTTATAGAAAAATACGATTAATTTACAAAAATTTCATGCTCTGTAAAATTGTATAAGTAAATTATAAGTAATGGCTAACAGCAATTAATTTAATACACTTTAGGTTTATACAACACTCTTGCTAATGAGCAAGAAGAAATTACAACTGGAAGACATACAGTCTTAAAAATAATGAACAAATTTTAAGTTTTTCAAATAAATCAATAATTAGACATAAAAATAGAAGCCTTGGATGCATTATAAGTAGTCATACCTTTTGTATCCTATAAAACTACAATATACAAAATTATTAATATTGAAAGAAATCATTGAATGAACACAGAGCACTATGAGCAATATATATATATCTATATATACATATATATAAAGAATAACAAAATAGGGATATTTAATACTGAAAACAAATCATTTGCCAAATATACACAATGATGAACTTAAATAATGGTATTACATTAAAAATTAAGTTCTATGATTTGAGATCATGTACCTTAAAATAAGAACCAAAATTTACAAAAATTATGATTTTAACAATTAGCAATACAATAACAAATTAGTACAACCTAAAATACATAAAATAAATATACAAAAAGAAAACTTTAATTGCAAATTAAAGCCAATTTGCACCTCAAAAAAATTTATATTTTTAAAATTACAGAAAATAGTTTGGATATAATAAAGAATTAATATTCGAATTATAATTAGAATTTATAGAATAAATAAAAGCTTTTTCTTTCTTCGTGAATTTATAAATATTATTTATATATTTCAAAGTAAAAAGTTCACACTAACATAGAAATTTAGTGAGCGAATAGCACCATCGAGATATTCCCTTAGTAGTCCAAAAAATTAATATGGTTGGCAAAATCAATATGGTAGACAAAATTAATATGGTACAAAAAATATCGAATTTTACAAATGCATAATTTATGTTATGGTACTCATTAAAAGTAATTAATTGCCATCAATAGTACCCTAAAACTAATTAGCTTTAATTTCCATGATTGAAGATTAGAGTTTATTAAATTTAAAAATATTTAAATATCAGTAAAAAGATTCAATCTACAATTTAAAATGCTAAGACCAAATAACTAAATAAATGAAGAAACCGAGAAAGAAAAAAGCAACAAAATATTATATTAAAACTTATCTAAAAATTCTAATAAGTAAATCCTAAAAGAGCAAAACATTATGCCTTATTGATGAGCAAATACGCAGTTAGTACATGAATGCAAAGCACAGCACAACATGTAAATTTTAAAATTTAGCACTTTTAAAACTAGGCACTGTCAGTTTTTCACTTTTAAGTTAATGAAAACTCTTAAAACTGAAACCTAAGCTATGTGTAAAATAAAATTAGTACAGCAATTGTTTTTTTAAATGCAGGGATTTCAATGCAAAAAAAAAATTTTTTTTTCATTACTATTTTGCAATTTCCAAACATATTTCAGACATTTACCCAACAAGGAAATACTCAAAAAATGTGGTAACAAAATAAATGCATCAAATATATAACATTATACTGGCAGATATAAAGCTGTTACAAATCAGAATAAAGTCTTTACTTGTTAATTACATTACTTTGCAAACAAGTGCCTAATAATAAATTTCAAATATTGCTGGATATTATAATTTTTTATTAGGGTCTAATATATTATATACAAAATTATTTTAAGAAGCGAAATGTATTTTTTGTGAAAAAATAGTTTAACTTCAATTTTATTATTGAAAATTTTTCTCTTAAATTGAGAAGAAAAAAAAACAACAGTATAATTTTTTTATAACTAAAATCAAAAGTGATTGTTAAAAATGAAGCATTTATTAAACATACACAATTTCAAAGATAGGATTTTTAACAATTGTATAAATTGTTGTACCAGTTTAATGAAATTTTTGATATATGTAACATTACATAGTATATTAATAGTAGGAACATAGAAATTTTCATTATCAAGACTTACAAAAATTATGAAGCTGGCAAACAACTTGGAAATATAAACTTAAATTTGCAAAGAGAAATGTACCCAAAAATATTATTTTAAATCAAAATCAATTATATGATTTAAATACTAGAGAAGAAGTCACAAAATTCTTGTAGCATAACATTAAAAAGGATTAAGTCCACATTTCAAAGTTACAAGCTGCAAACAAATATCAGCATCTTCAATGCTACAATGTCCTGATTTACCATTGCGCATAGTAATCCCCAAATATTCCTGAGCTAGATACTCCAATGAGTATCTGTAAGGAAATCCTTTAAAGTGTGGATACAAAATAGATGTATCAATTATGTTTTCATGGCAGATGTGAAGGCCTTTCAAATCAGAATGCAATCCGTGGCCAATGAGGATAGTATCACCGCTTAAAAACCCACACACAAGGTCATACTGAACTTCTGACAATGTTTTAACATTCCCATATATCAAATCTTCTGGTCTTATGCCACTGAATTGGGTATTATAATCCAGAACTTCGTAGTTTGGTGCAACAAAGGTGTCGTAAACAAGTCCTTTCTTCAACGATACTAAACTCACTCGAGCAACTTCCATGCCTCCTGGAGTATATACAAATTCGCAATCCAGAGCTAAGATGTTGAAATTATCTGTACTCCATTGTTTTGTAATATACCAATAACCAAAAAGTGAAATAAACGAGCTAGTGTGAAAGGCACTAGATACACAACCAGGAGACTTGAATGGCTTACCACAACATTTATACAGCCAGGAGTTCTTATCAAGTTTAAGAGGATGGTAACGACAATTCCGTGCATAAAACCAATTTTCATTAAGAAGGGAAACTGTCTTCTGACAACGACACTTCTGCTTCTCAATATTTGCCTCTTCGAAATAGTTGTTTCCTTTGACGCACAACCTGTTATCTTCCCCTTCTGATAAAGGAAAGCCAACCTCAAGCAGTGTTTCGCGTGGGTGAACATATTTGACCAATTCATAATAATAAATATCGGGTCTTCTAGTCATCATCTTAACTGGTGGGGTTGACTTCAATTTAAAATGCTGAATGATCGACAGTTGGGCATAAACTTTCAGATCTCATTAATCTGAAATAGGAATATTTCATAAATATTATTAAAATGCAATTAGACATGATATGCAGTACAGAATAAATATAAAAAACTAGAAATTGAGGAGAAAATTTTTTTATGATCAAATTTTTTTATGATCAACGATTATGATCAAATTTGTGCTAAAAATACAAACTGAAAAACAGCATACTATCCCTTTGCAATCAAATGTTGGCTGAGGGGGACCACTGTTAATTTATTTTATGGTGGTTTAAATCAAATTCTAGTGGTTTTGGAATAACAGAACAATAAAAGCAAAGAGAAAAATAAAAAAATTATCCATCAAAATAATTATATATAAGATCTTTAGGTACAATGAGCTTTACTCATAATCATCTCAACTCAATAATCAACTTAACTAAGCTTTTAAATTATTACACCTAAAAGTTTAAAAGTAAAATTTATTCTATTGTGAATTTTACTCTTTTTAAAAAAAGTTGACAATGATCACATATTATTTTACAGACAGAATTCATAACTTTCCTGTGTTTCTAAAGAATTGTATCACCTGTTTTAGTCCTTGGCTTTCAAAAAATGTTATTTAATTACATTATCTTTCAGTAAAAATCAAGTAAGTTATCCATTTTTTAGATGCAAGGTTTACAATTTCTTGATGCACATCATTTTTTAATAGTTTTTACTGTTAAGTCAAGAAACTAGATCTTAAGTGACATTGCATTTTCATATTATTTTAAGTAAATTAAAACAAAAGGGTATTTTTTTGTTACCTTAAAGCTTTTAATTTTTAAAAAAAAAAACTTTAAGATATTTTACAAATATTAAAATTGTTGATTAAAATGTGAAAAGGTATATCAATAAGTTAATCTTCAGCATTAAAGTATATCATTAAAAATGAATTTGAAGTTGATTCAATCGTTTTCGTTTTGTCTAGCTAGTTTGGTAAAAATTTGAAGGGTTTTCCCAAATTTTACACAAATCCACTCTAAACTTTGAAATCAGCCATGCAAAATTTTTCACTATCACACGTTTTGACTTGGCATTTATGTAGGTTTTCAATTAAAAAAGAGCTTTAAAATTAAATAATATAGCAATGGTTCCTTAGTTATATTATTTTTTATATGAATGGATATAAATTGCATAATAAAATCCATGTGGTACGCAATTTTAGGAACATATTTTTAACATTTTTAAGTGCAGAATTCAAACATTTAGTTTCGTTGTAATTGAAGACTTAAAACTGTTTATTAAAAATTGGTAATGTATTAGAATAATTAAAAAAAATTGTGCACAGATTAAAATTATTTATAAACTGTAAGGAGAATTCTGTTAAAAAATTATCCCTTTATGCCATTACATGAAGATAAAGGAAGTTTTTACAGGTAAAGACACAGATTTTACTTCTGACATCAAAAGCTAAATCCTACTCAGATGCAATAAGTGCATAATTTTTATGTTCAGAATTTAATATGTTAGCTACTTTTAGAAACATAGATTTTGATGATTTAATATATTTTTGGACCACTGAGAATAATACATCTCATGCATAGTGACCAAAATCAGTTTAGGATAACCTTAACCCTGATAAAAAACTAGATTAAATGTAGGATAAAAAAAATAATAAATTAATTTAATTTGTATCTGCCAAAAGTTTTCACAACACTAAACATATACTTCTTAGGAAATATTAAAAGATAGAAATGGAAAGGATTATAAAAACAATATTATAATAAAATTGTTACATTACCTGACAAATTTTTCAAGACAAGGAACAATTCTGAACCTGTCCAAACTTGTCTGTTCCACACTTTCCTAATCAATTGCTTTGAACTCTTGTAATAGTCTGGTCACAAACTACTCATGAACTGAAATAAGAGAAAGAAATATATATAAAACACTGTTTAAAGTAACAGTGCATGAAACACTTGAACAACATACATGTGTATTTACATAGAAAACATGTGTATATTTTTTCATAATCTTGAAATGAAAAATATAATGAGAGATTGTTACACTTTGTAAAATAGAATTTATATTCTTGAAGTGTTATCAAGAATGTCATTTCAAGAGTTAAACGTTTACAAAGATAATAAGTAAAGACAAAATAAAAAAATTAATTTCTATGCTTTTACATAAAACATATTCCCTTGTAATCAAAAAATAAGAAATTTAAAATTGCACCATGAATTTTGAAACCATAATAAGATATTAAAATATTTACTTTTTTTTCCTTCGACGTGGCACTTGTGTATAAGACCTAAATAAAATCCTAGGAGTACAGAGTGATTCTAAAAAGGTAAAATAAAGTGAAATTTTATCCATAGAATTATTAATATTATTAATAGAATACAATAAATAGACGTTACAAAAATTATAACACATTATCAGCCTTATTCTTTACCTAATTATTAATAACTAAGCCTTTGAATCTTGTAATTCCCATACACGTGATAATGTACTGTTATTTTTCATGGAATCATACTTAGAAAAAATTATTTATTCCATTTAATTACTTTCTTTTTGTCAACCTGAGTAGAATGTTTTTTTTAAAAATCATTCATGAGAGAAACCTTTCTTTACATTAATATTTAAAATAAAAATTATTTGAAAATTGTATATAACTCTAATAACCACAGAATGGGATTTTAAATTATTAGAGTAAAAATTATTTCTTACATGCAGATACTTTAACAATTTCCTTCAATTATGTACATCGATTACCTTTAGATAAAATGTATCTTATTTAGAAAATATAAAAAGTTTTATAAAATCTACAGAAATGTTTACATCTAAAAACATGAAGAAATGACTCCGAATAATACAAAATGACGTAATATATTAAATACTTACGATAATAAGCAAATTTATATGATACATCCGTTAAAAATTTAGTAAAACACATCTAAAATCTTCCAAGAAACAAAATCTAAAACAGCCGCTGAAAGATGATTGTAAGCGATGTTGTCGAGAACAAACACGTGTTTGTAGAAATAATTCTGTTTACAATTTCAAAGTACCTATGTTTTGCGCTTTGATCTTACTTTCTTTGACGAATGACTCATCTTGAGGTCGAATAAAACTGTTTAAAGAGCCATTCACACTGGATACTATTTTTACGCATGCAGAAAAATTTTAATACGAGTCTGTACCTGCTGATAAGTGAGTTTTTCGCAGGGTAATATTTCCGTTTCTCATTCGCATGCGATTTTCCAGAGAGACTATCCAATGAGAACAGTCTTTGACTTGCATTGAAGAACTTGCAGGAAACTTTCGGCAATAAGCTGGAAGGTGGATGGTGAATATCACCATCGATCCTAAAAAAACAAACAAACCATACCGGAAGTCTTGGGCTCCTCCATGACGTCACAGCATAACGTGACTATTTCTTTTTTTGATGCTCTGTTTACATCCGTAGATAAATAGCTCTTTACTTTGAATGCGTTCTATTTTCTGTTGTGTTTTTTTTTTTGTTGTGAAAATGAGCTCTTCATATTTTCAAATGTTGAATGAAGATGCGAAGAAAAATTACGTAAATAAATTAAACTATAATGGTATTCAATTGCCGGATCCATTAGATGCTGACATACGAAGCCTGGTTTTCTCCAGCAAAAATTGGCCAAATATAAGTGTTTTTGACATTTATTCGTATTTCGTAGTAAAGCACAAAGTGTATTCTCAAATTGCTTTTAAAAGTTTTGAAACTCTTCCAAGTTACAATTACGTTACGTCCGGAAAAGTTCATAACGTGAAATGCTTTCGAAACGAAATCGGTGTTTGTGTTCTAACAGCAGATGTTGAAGCGGGTCAGAAAACAAATAAAATCCACATGCCGTGGATAATCTCTACACATGCTGGAGAAATAATTTCTGGCCATTGCACTTGTATGGCTGGGTAAGTATAATTTGTTTATGAAAACATTTTCTGTTAAGTTTGTAACATTGCTAATCTTACAAATAGTTTTTAGAGTGTAGGTTTTAAATTGCAACCTACATTCATAATAATATTTGTTTAGTAATTGAAATTTAAAACTCTATTTCCATTATGTGCACTATTGGGTTTTTAAACCTTTTAACGTTGCTATATTTTTTTATATTATGAATATTCAGATTGATTTTGCTATTTTTTAGTATTGACTGTTATAGAAATGCTAAGTAAATGTATACTGAATATTTTCCAGAAGATAATTTAGGGAGATTTCCATATTCTTATTTGTGGCAGAATAATCTCAGGGCAACATCGCAGGCAGAATAATCTTTAATTCAGGAACTAATGCTCAAGATTTCCTGAAACTTTATAGATATTTCAATTTAGATTGTTCTGGTAGTAATTATAATTTATTGTGTAACTGCCACCTGGTGTATATGTGTGCTGATGTTTGTTTTTTAATAATATTAAGGGGGTAAAATTGAACTTCAACTCCTGTGATTTACTCTAATGCAATCTGTCAGATTATATTTGTGCTACTGGTTTGCAGCATATCAAAATATTCCTTTATTTGCATAACTTAAATTAGTTCTCTAAATCGACAATTTCAATTTTATTTAATATTAATTGTTTAAAAAATGGCCAGCGAAGATAATAACATTTTACGAATGCTTTTTTTTTTTCAGATTGGGAGAAGCTTGCTCACACGTGGGAGCAACTCTCTTTTTCATTGAAAAGAGTTTAAAAACAGATCAGGAAAAGCCTTCATGCACGTCTGAGCCTTGCAAGTGGAAGAAAACTTCTAAAAATGTAAGACAGTAACTAACTTTTGTTTTTAGACGGAAATATGGTTCAGAATTTTCTATTTTTGGTTCCATCTGTGTACTGTAGACACTTATGTTTGCTCCACTTACATTTTATAGAAATGGTTGTGGGGTCCTTAACAAAAATACTTAATCGAAATTTTTTTGCCAATATATAATATACATAAAACATTTTTATGTCAACTGCATTAATGCTGGGTTACCTATTACACAATAGATTCTAAGTACCTTCTGGGCAATAGGTTATTATATTCTTTACTTTTTCTCTTTCTCACTATTAATCACTTATTTGCATACACAAACTTATCAGATATAATATTGATCACTTATTTGCATACACAAACTTATCACTTATAATATTGATCACTTATTTCCATATACAAATTTATCAGTTTTAATATTGAAAGTTTTTTACATACACAAACTTAAAGTAAATCATTCAAAATTTTCAGCATTATTAGAAGTGTAATACTTAAATTTTCAAACTAGATTATCAATAACAACTGTCTCTATTTCAGGTTGAGCCAATGCCAGTGGCTAACATTGATTTTAAGAAGTCAAAAGACAAGAAAACCCCCCAAAAATCATCAGAGGTTGTGCCTGTAGCAAGCGATGTTGCTTTCAAAAGATTTCTGGAAGACTTGAAGGTAAAATAAGATTCATACATTGTGATTCATATTCACACAATTATAATTAATAAATAAAATCTTGCATCAAACTTTTTATTAAAAGGTTGTGAACATTCTGTGGATAAATCATTCCTCTTTTTCCTTGCTTAAATTTCAGGTATATTTAAATTATATAAAGTGCTTGGATTTTTATTCACAGTTTTCTGTTTTTTTTTATACCCATTTTAGATTTGGTACTCATACTCATAGAAAGTTTTTAATTTTATCTGTCTGTTTAGAGAATTAATAATGCATGAGGACTTAACATTTATATAGATTATAATTTATAAGAGTGAAAATCAGAAATTTATATATTTATGTGTTTACCTTAATCTTCGGCTCTGAAAAATAAGAAAATGTATAAGTTAATACCTTTATGTACATCATTGTGAGAAAAAAATTAAAGTCTCAATTTTTTTCTTACAGACAGCTTCACCAGCTGCTGCCATTTTTCAAGTATTGTCCGATGATGAAGAAACTGAATCGGAAGAGGAAACTAGTAACATTTCTGTCATCGAAAGCCCCTGTTCTTTCTCTGACAGAGTTAGAAAAAGAATGTCAGAATGCCCTTCAATGAAAACAGACCCTAGAAAATGTTTCTATGATATGTGTCGTATTAGTGACAATGAGATGAAATTTATAGAAGATGAAACAAAATTACAGGGTGAAGTGTGGAAAGCTGAGAGGATTGGTAGACTTACTGTTTCCAAATTCGGAAGAATTTTGAGGAGCAAGAGAAGTGACTTTCTGCTCATGGACATCATGGGCTATCACCATGAGAGTGATAATGTTGAGTCACTGACTTGGGGTAGAAAGATGGAGCAGGTTGCGGGAAACAAATTTTTTGAAATGGTCAGCCCCAACCATGTGAATCTTATTATTAGACCAGCTGGTTTAATTATTGACCAAGAGGATAGCTTTTTAGCAGCTACACCTGATGGCTATGTTAGTTGCGACTGCCATCCAGACAGTTTATTAGAGATAAAGTGTCCATACACATTACGTAATGCAGCATTAAATAGTGTCAATATTAAAAAAATTTTCTTAAATGACACTGGCAGATTAAAAGAAGATCATGTTTATTTTGATCAAGTCCAAGGCCAGATGGGTATTTCCGGATTAAATACGTGCTACTTTGTCACATTCACAACCGTGTCGTTGAAGTATGAGGAAATCACTTTCGATGAACTGAAGTGGTATGAAATGAAGGATAAGCTTAATAAGTTTTTCTTTGAAAATATAATTCCCGAAATACTTTACGGTTATAAACTTAAAGAAATTGAGGGAGCAAAAAATGATTGCATTTGTAAGGGGTTTAAAAATGGAGTAACTATTAAATGCATTACGTGTTCTAAATTTTTTCATAAAGGATGTGTAAAATTACATCATAAAGTTTATTCATGGACCTGTGATCAGTGCAAGGTCAAGATTTAATTTTTACAATTTTCTCTGCAAGATTTATCAGAAACTACTTGATTTGATGACAATATTTATCAGAAACTGGCATGATTATGTAAAGTTTTTTAATTGTATGCTTATTAAGCTTATCCTTCATTTTGTACGACTTCAGTTCATCGAAAGTGATTTTCTCATACTTCAATGACACACTCTTGAATGTGACAAAGTACAGTAGAGTGCCGATTATCGGAAACCCCCCAATTATCCAAACTATGTCCGAATTAGATTTTCTTTTTAAGTTAAAAATGATAAACGAAATTTAATAAGATATTTAAGAATTGAAAAAAAAAACTTCCTGACACGCCAGAGCTATTTTAGATAGTACTGCCAGTCCTAAGCCTTGAAAAAGTGTGAGGGGAAGGAAGTGCATAAATAATAATTTAAACAACTATCCAATTATCGAACCAAGTTCGGTCCCGAGCAGTTCGGATAATCGGTGCTCTACTGTAGCTTGTATTTAATCCATTTTTGAGTGCTTATTTTTTGTTGAAATATCTGGCTAAGCAACTTGCTAAACTAAAAAAAAGTTTTGTACAGTTCTAAGAAAAATTTAATTATATGTGCTATTTTAAAAATTTATTGTATTGTACGTGAATTTAAAGAGGAAGAAAAAAGTTATCTTTAGCTGATGACTGATTTTATTTAATTTTAAATATTTTTACTGTTATACTTTTTTAATTTTGGTATTTTTTTTAATATACAGGATTTTCTCATATATATGGTAATGGTGTAGCACAATTTTCCATTGTTATCGGTGCATTTTTATCTGCTGGAAAATCACATGGTAGGATCCAGTTTCTTCACATTGATTTGTATATTATTTTTTGTTATCATCAGTCTAAAATTAATGAAAGGCATTGTTTTTATATAAATATTTTTGTATCCTTAATTTAAAGATATTTTACTTGTATTGCTGATATTGTATTTTTCGTTGTTTTCTCACATTAAGAGAATTTACTTAAATTGGTGTCCAATGTTATTAAATATATTACAAGTATTACTTTTTGTGCAAATTTCTTTAACATGCTATTATAAATTTAAAAAAATTATTGCTTACTTAAATTTCTATGTCCACTAATAGATCTTAATTGTAGGAAAATATTTGTATGTGGAAAGTAGGGTCACAAGCATAAGCTAACAGATACTTTTAAGTTTATATGATTTAAGTAAATAATTTCAACTTATGAGAAAAGTTACTTTTATGCCAAGAAACAGTTATTCTGAAGAAATCACCAGAGTTGGCAAGCGGTAAGAAACAAGAGAATTAGCCCCCTAGTCTTTTATATATAATTTACACTGTTTCATCAATCTTAAATTCCTTCGTATATTATTGGNTCCAAGGCCAGATGGGTATTTCTGGATTAAATATGTGCTACTTTGTCACATTCACAACCGTGTCGTTGAAGTATGAGGAAATCACTTTCGATGAACTGAAGTGGTATGAAATGAAGGATAAGCTTAATAAGTTTTTCTTTGAAAATATAATTCCCGAAATACTTTACGGTCATAAACTTAAAGAAATTGAGGGAGCAAAAAATGATTGCATATGTAAAGGGTTTAAAAATGGTGTAACTATTAAATGCATTACGTGTTCTAAATATTTTCATAAAGGATGTGTAAAATTACATCGTAAAGTTTATTCATGGACCTGTGATCAATGCAAGGTCTAGATTTAATTTTTACAATTTTCTCTGCAATATTTATCAGAAACTACTTATTTTATCATGATTATGTAAAGTTTTTTAATTGTATGCTTATTAAGCTTATCCTTCATTTTGTACGACTTCAGTTCATCGAAAGTGATTTCCTCATACTTCAATTACACACTCTTGAATGTGACAAAGTACAGTAGAGTGCCGATTATCGGAAACCCCCCAATTATCCAAACTATGTCCGAATTAGATTTTCTTTTTAAGTTAAATATGATAAACGAAATTTAAAAAGATATTTAAGAATTGAAAAAAAAAACTTCCTGACACGCCAGAGCTGTTTTAGATAGTACTACTTTAGATAGTACTCAGATAGTGTGAAGGGAAGGAAGTGCATAAATAATAATTTAAACAACTATCCAATTATCAAACCAAGTTCGGTCCCGAGCAGTTCGGATAATCGGTGCTCTACTGTAGCTTGTATTTAGTCCATTTTTTAGTGCTTATTTTTTGTTGAAATATTGGCTAAGCAACTTGCTAAACTAAAAAAAAGTTTTGTACAGTTCTAAGAAAAATTAAATTATATGTGCTATTTAAAAAATTTATTGTATTGTACGTGAATTTCAAGAGGAAGAAAAAAGTTATCTTTAGCTGATGACTGATTTTATTTAATTTGAAATATTTTTACTGTTATACTTTTTTAATTTTGATATTTCTTTTTAATATACAGGATTATCTCATACATATGGTAATGGTGTAGCACAATTTTCCATTGTTATCGGTGCATTTTTATCAGCTGGAAAATCACATAGTAGGATCCAGTTTCTTCACATTGATTTGTATATTATTTTTTGTTATCATCCGTCTAAAATTAATAAAAGGCATTGTTTTTATATAAATATTTTTGTATCCTTAATTTAAAGATATTTTACTTGTATTACATAAAATTGTATTTTTCGTTGTTTTCTAACATTAAGAGAATTTACTTAAATTGCTGTCCAATCTTATTAAATATATTACAAGTATTACTTTTTGTGCAAATTTCTTTAACATGCTATTATAAATAAAAAAAAATTATTACTCACTTAAATTTTTATGTCCACTAATAGATCTTAATACTAGGAAAATATTTGGATGTGGAAAGTAGGGTCACAAGCATAAGCTAACAGATACTTTTAAGTTTATATGATTTAAGTAAATAATTTCAACTTATGAGAAAAGTTTCTTTTATGCCAAGAAACAATTATTCTGAAGAAATCATCAGAGTTGGCAAGCGGTAAGAAACAAGAGAATTAGCCCCCTAGTCTTTTATATATAATTTACACTGTTTCATCAATCTTAAAGGTAGCTTTGATGTGTAAGTGTTAAGAAGGAATTATTAAAAATTAGCAGAATTTTCCACTAAAGAAATATATGCTATCTATGTAAAAAAATTGTCTAGACTTAACCAATATTTGTTCATTTTCCAACCAAATTGCTTGTTTTATGTTTTTCGTGCAGAAATATTTGTACTTTTCAATTGCTCAAATAAAATAGTCCATCTTTTATTTTCTAAATATTAATACTGAATTACATTTATTTATTTATTAATTGCTTGAATGTGATGTAAAATTTTTTCCCGAGCTGGTTGTACCAAGAATGCAAAGAAAATTTATGGTGCTGCTATTTGTCTTACTTTTTATGTAATTTAATTACAACACCTATCTTCTGCAGAAAATGACACCATTTACAGTATAAGGAAACATAACTTTACAAAGAGGAATAACTTTTTTTAAAAAAGAATTTCTTTCCAACCAAGTAACTAAATTACAATTTGTTATTAATAAGAAATAAACAAATAAATTCAGATTTAAAGATCTTTTATTAAGGGATTCCCAATATTGATCAGGGAACAAACAACGGGTAATATTTTGTCAACAGTTGACAATTCCCCTTTTTCATTTTTCTTAACCATGGAGATTGGCAGGGTGCCTTCTAATATCCGAAAAGTTTTAATTTTTCTAATTGCTCTTTCTACGTGCACACGCACTTTAGAAAGTTTCCTCGACGTTACTACTTCAGGCTGACTTAGCTGGGCTTTACCTTTTGTAAAGGCAGGTACCTGCAGTTTAGCACCCCTTGCTCTAATTATCTCATCGATTCTAAAGCCCCTATCTGCCAGAACCAGGTCATCCAGCCGTAGAATATCGAGGAAACCACTGTGCACAGTAATGTGTTTGTCGGACACCCTGCCACCCCATGCTTTCGAAACAAAGCAAATATTTCCAGATGGAAGAATTGCAACAAGAAATTTCATTGTATTGTGGTTTTTGTAGTTTGAATACGTCTGAGCTCGTGCATTTAAATTTTTCGGCTTTTCAATGAAAATTTCTGTGCAGTCTATGATACAGCTCACATTGCCCAAAGAAACATCTTTAAAGCAATTTGGAATGCTTTTGCAAATAGTTCTCATGGAAGGATAAATGATTAATCTTTGTAAATTGATCATCATTACATCCAACCACGAGTGAAAAATCTTGCTAACTGATGAAACTGAGATGTTAAATCTTGTTGCTAAATCAAGATTAAGCAAACCTAATCTCAATTTCATCAGCACAAGAAGAAATTCTTCGCAAGGCTGCAAACTTTTATGTTGTGGCTTCCATGCAGACAATAAATATGTCAGCAAGCAATTGAATACCACAACATTTTCCAGCCCCGTATAAAATTTGAACAATTTATTTGATTTGGTCGTGATTGTATCATAGACTGGCACATGAGTCAAACTTTTCCTCATCACTGAATTTTCAGCCTCGAGCTCAGCAATTCTTTTCTTTAATGTGGCATTTTCTTGTTGCAATTCTTCAATAATATCGTTGTCCGTCTGAGCAAATGCTTCTGATTGAAAAATGTCATCAGTCTGTGTTCCTATTTCAGCAACAGGTTCATCACAAAATGAATTATTAGCATCCATATCTAAAATAATAAAGGATGTTATTAGTGTACATGTTTTTTAAAAATTATAAAATTTATTACATTATTATAAAACATTACCTGCATAGTTTGCATCTTAGAACAAAATATTTATTATTGCTATGCTTTTAAGACTACAGTGCATTAAGGATTTAAATGTAAATATTGGAGAAGTTTTGCTAATAAAAACATTTATAATTTAAAGGGAAACAAATCTCAACACTATTAATGAAAAGTTTCATTAGTATTAATAGTTAATCAGGTACTTTTCCATTATACCGGCACAAATCTCGCCAAGCAGACTTTATGGTGACAGCAGACTTTATTGGCTGCAACACACAGCATACACATAAAAAACAGTTAATAAATGGTTAAAGAAAATTTTTACTTCGGAGGCATAAACATTTCAATATCGCTTAAAATTTTTTCAAAGGGGGCATCCGTTTGCCTTCTCCACCTAAATTATGCAAGATAATGTTCCAGATGGTGTGTCATTCCTCTGTGTTTCTTAATTCGCTCTGGCACACAATTTCTCTATTTTTCGCGTGTGTGTTTCAGTTTCTGAATCTATAAGGATTGTATTTATGGTTCACTTTGAAATATTCGAAATCTATGTATGATACATTAATGATATTAAAGTTACCATGCATTTTGCATACTTAATGAAAGTCCCTTGACTTGTAAAATATTAGTTTAATGCATTTGAATAAAAAAATTAAATAAGTTATAATTTTATTGTTGTTTAGTTAAAAGCATTTAAATACCTGGTTAGTATTTAACATTTTTTATAATTAATGCATTGCTTATAAAATTATAATTGGTGTAGAAAGAAGGGGTGGGAGGCAAAACAAGTAAGAAAGTAGAGCTTTCAACTGTTAATTTTATCACTTTTGGATGAAATATTATAGTTTTGTGTTTAATTAATCTGAATATAGATTTTGTGCTTTAAATCACAAAGTCACTACATTCACTATTTTATTTGACATTGTAAAGCCTTTTCTTAAATGTTTCATAAACATGTAATCATACTTTTTGCAACACACATTTTTCAAAATTATGGTGAAAGAAACATATCTTTTACACACACTTAGTGTATCATAAACATGATAAAAATCTAATCATATATGGCAACAACCTGTAACATTACCTGAAGAAGTCTGTTGTACATCAAATATTTTACGCTTTTTATTTCTTTCAAATCTTTCAACCTTTTTCTGTCCATCCATTTTTGAAAACTCAAACACAGAAGGAATGTAATCTGGATGATCAGGGTTAAGTGATGGCTTTCCTAAAAAAAAAAAAAGGGGGAGTAGCTTTATAAGCGTGTGTGTAAAAAATCTGGAAATTATCTTATAGCTAAGCAAAAATTAAGCTCGGCTAAAACATAAGTAATAATGTTGTAATTTTAACTTATCCAATAAGTTGCATTTTAATTCTACTTTCACGTTGAACATAACAGTTATTGTTGCAATTTTTATTTTACTACCACTGAAAGAGCTTCTTAAAAAAGTGTAGACAGTTAAAAACTAAGTATGATTCTTCAATCTTCATATCAACAATCATATTTCAAAAGCAATAAAACCAAGTTTATATATTTCTGATTCAACAGTTTTTTACTTAATTATTCTAGTCAATCAATAATATAATAAACAATTTGAAAAATACAAAAAGAAAAAATTAATTTGGAACGAAGATTAGTAGTAGCTAAATAAATAATTTGCAGTCTGAACCAAATAACAAATTTTTTGGAAATCAGTAAATTTCATCACATACAAGTTTTTAAAATTGTATATAAAACACCAAAATTTTTTTAAATTTTAAGCACTTTGAAACTAATTTGAAATTTTTTTAATAAAAAAAAGGAGTCGACAGTTTTTTATTTATTTGGTGTTTGGGCAAATCTAGTAGAATACCTAACAGAAATACAATATTGTGAAAATCATGGCTGTTTCATTAAAATAATTCCAATTTCTTTTCAATCAAGAGAACAAATTTGGTAAATTGTGAAAATCTTTGAGAGGTCACAGAGACCCACCATCACTTTATCATTGTTTACTTTCTTTATCCATTTAACTCTCCATATATCTGACATATTTTGAAAAGAAATTAAATTGCTTCGAAACAGAAATAAATATAAAACAAGCATTAAAAACAAATGTTTTTTTTTTCCTTTAAAAATACTACAAAAAGAAGAGAAACATTCTTGTCATTACCTGTCATTACATTAATCTTAAAAACAATATCATTTAGGCAATGTTATTAGGGCTTAATAACATTTATATTACATACTCAACAGTAATAAGAATATCAATCGCTTATATATTTTTGAATCTATACATACCTTCTATAAAGTGCTTACTGCATAATAAACTGTAGTCGGATGGTTTCCAGTCCTTTCTTTTAATGGCATTTGTCCATTCAGTTCGACGGTGAGGGTCTTTAGGAAATTTAAACATTTGGATCGCTGACAACAAATTTGTTCCTCTCCTCATCGTGCATCCCAAAGCCGAACAAGTGCCTCCATTTTTCGACACTTTTTTAGCCATCAAAAATTTTTTTTCTTTAAATATTACGTGTTTTAGAATTCAAACCAAAGCAAAACTTATAATGTAAACAACATAGACCGTTTTATAACCGGAAGTTCCGGTGGCCTCAGTAAACACTGCCCCCTACCGTTGAAAATATGAAACACGGTTGAGAATATTATTATTACAAACACTAGTGCTGTCACATTACAATTTTCACTGAAAATATGACTTTTTCTATTTATTGGTGATCGAAATAGGCTATAGGTAGCGCATAGCAAAATTCCTTAACTATGACAACACTAGGCATGATTTCACCATTATCGTATGGATAGTCTAGAGAATGTTGTACTTCGTTAGTTTCTGTCTTGATTTTTAAACTGCTTGAAATTCTAAAACTTGGAAACTATACGGATAAACTGCATTTAACTTAGTGCTTAATGCAAGCATCGTGTAAATTTTAAAGTATATATGTAATAATCTAAATGCCAAAAATATCATAGAAGGGGGGGGACATCATTATACATCCCTATACATCTAAGTAGGGGACGGGAGGGGAGGGCAGAGTAGAGTACGACGTATTCGAGAGTTGCGATCGCGATTATATAAATCTGGAACAATTGATGTCGTGATAAATAAAGTTGTTAGAAAAAATTAAAATAATCATACCATAAAAAAGGCTTAACTAACCATTTTTAAGAAGTTACATAAAAGTAGTAATTCTTTATTTATATCAATATAGAGCTGTACTAAGGCTATTGGCCACGGTCTGGGAAATATCACTGAGGAAGATACGCAGACATGCCATCACAGTTTTGATCCTTTGCAGAGGAGATGACTCTCTCACTTTGGTACCCCGAATACCTGCTTACGGATTCAAGCATTTTGAGGAAGAATAGTTCAGCGAGGACCAATACTGCACACCCTCGGTCTCTTCATAGGCTGATCAAAGTTGTCCCCCATTCATTCACTGATCACACTCGATGATGTTTTGATTCGGTGATCAACTGAAAACACTGTGGGACCAGCAAATTATATATAAAAAGGCTATGAAAATATGTTTGGTAAACAATATACAATCTGTTCTGAAGGAATTAGTAAGAGTTTTTTAATTAGTAAAGTAAGAGTTTTTTAATTAAAACGTATAAATTGTGAAATAAAATTAGCAGCGTTTAAACAAGCTAAATTAAGTTCACATCATAGGATAAAAAATATACACACAGCCTGCTTGACTAAAATGGTAGAAAGAAACACATTAATTAATCCTTCCAATTAAAAAAAATCATAATTATTAGATAAGTAAAATAAAAAAATAAATAAAATAAATCAAAACACATTTTTTTGAATTAAGTAACATTATTTAAGATGTGTTCAGGTTAGCCATGGAGTGATGTATATTGTGCCCACGCTACTCATCTTTCTAGACATCATAGCTAAAGTTGCAACTGATGAAATAAACAAGGTTTAGACCCTGGAATAACCGAAAAACAGGTGTAAGACGTTTCTGCGCTTTTAAAATTAAATTTTTTTTTTCATTGACAACAAATCAATCGATAACAAAAGTCTAGTGAGAACTTTTCAAAACACTAAATCTTTCGATGTTACTGCTCAATGAACATGAAACATCTTGAGTTCACTATAAAAAAATGATAAGACCATCTATTCTAAACTTTTTTTTTTGGTCTAATCTTAAATCTATGGTCGAAAGAATTGTTTAATATGGATTACTTACCATTAATGAGAATTTGAAGTGCATATTGTGACGTCATTTAAAAATCGGAGTTCCCTGTATAATCATAACCTTTCAAATTTTTTTAAATGGCCTCAATCTCTAAAAAAAACGTGAAAGACTATCCTCAGTACGATGGTATACACAAAAAAGAAAGCTCTTCCTGACTGTGGCAAAATTGAAGGCTGTCATCATTGAAACTCTGGCATAATATTATGGATAATGTACTATATTGACCGTTAAATGGTATGCAACATCGAATTTTTCAAGTCATACATAAATAAGATGGATATTTAGGTGATAATTAGCAGTAACTTAATTTTGATTAGACATTTTTCTCTGCCTGATTTTATTTATTCGATTTTTTTTTACTGCGGAGTCAGTGTGGAGCATAAAGTGAGTTTCTCTCTGAAAATATGAACTTTTTTACAAACTTTTTTAATTTACATGTTCAGTTTTTATTAGCTTTCCTTGTGTCAAGGATAAAAATGGCTGATCTAAGTTGAAACATACTGTGGATAGTTATAAAAAATGGTAAGAAATAAAAGATAGTATACATATAAATTTTTTTTAAACATTTTAGATTGTTTTAGTAGGAAAAATATTTAATTTTAACACGTTTACTATCAGCCGAGTACAGGTGATTATCTTCTTCTTTATTGGCACTACAGCCCAGGATGGGTCTTAACCTGCCAGAAAATATTTCTCCACACAGCTCTGTCACTTAACTTAATCTTCCAGTTGGAAATCTTTAAATTTTCTAAATCATTGGAGATATTATCCATTTATCCTTTCTTCGGTCTGCCTCTTGGCCTTTTGCCCACAGGCTTCCAATGAAAAATTTTTACCAATCGGTAGTCAGGTGATCTCTTAATGTAACCAAGTCATAAAAGCCTCTGCTCTTTGATGAATCCTTTTTCCTTACACCTCCATTATTTTTACACCTGTTTTATTTTGTGTACAGGTAATTATACGATATATATTACTGTAATCCAACGAAGTTCTTACGTAATCTATTACTATACTATACTAATATTATTAGTCTAATATATAAAGACAAAAACAAAATTTAATTGCTTTATTTTAATTACCATTTTAGTTTTCAAAATGAACGATGAGTTTATTTCAGTTAACGATGTTTTATTGTCGAGAAAAATCATCATGTTTTATGCATTAACAATTAGGAGATAATATGCATCTTGCTACTACCTCATCAGTTTTATCGACACAAACGGAAAGTATTGCGTCTCGATCTGGCATGAGATCGTTATAAATAAAAATAAAAAGAAAATTATTAAAGTAAATAAAAAAAAATAGTCCGTGGAGTCCCTCCGCGCGGAAGAAGTGAAACTTCGTAATGTGGAAATGAAAACAGGAAGGGGTAGAAATTGATTTTTAGTGAAATCATATTGTTTCTTTAAGACAAACTTTATTAACATTGCTCACAATTCACAATTGATCGCATCTTTTAATTATCATTTTCGAGTGGAGAAATATCCAAATCTATAACATTTACAATGGGATTATGATAACTAAGGTAAGATACGAAATGTTTGAGTTCTATTTTTTCAATATTTCTTGAAAAAGCTGCATCAATGGTAGTTCCCTCCTTGGTTGTTGGATCATTTCTACCATTTATCATTTCCAACCCAAATTTGTCTTTGAGGAAGGTTAATAATGTTTCAGCTTCAGGCAACGAGAAATTCACATTAAAATCTCCTGCAAGGATCACAGGCCGTTCACAATAATCAATTTCTTCACCAGTAACGTCTGACAGAGCTTGTGAACCTGCAGTGGATAGTGGCAATAAAGATATTGCAATAAATAATTTAATATCCCTCATGACTGCATTTGGTGAAATATAAATAGCAATTAGAATCATGTACTTTCAAAAGAGAAAACCTAACAATCAATTGATATTCACAAGAGACGTACCTTGACATAACCTTAAATCCGTCGCATTGTCCGTGGGATTGTTTTCACTCATTTTTTACAATTGTTATCCACTAAATTTGAAAATAAAAAAATACTACCCTATTAAATTATATGTGTATCAAATCAAACTAAAAAAAGTAGATTTATAGAAAAACAATACTTTTATGACTTTTATTATTTTTATGCTAGTGAGAACCAAAACAATATGGAACTGAATGAGGGAAAACTGGATCCTACCACGTGATTTCCCGGCCAATAAAAATGTAGCGTTAAACGTTTAACGCAACCTTGTTGGAAATCGCATAAGAAGTTTCACCTCAAAAACGTAGTAAAACTTCTAAATAATATAATATTAAAAAAGGCGAGGAATACTTTTAATATTTTAAAATGAAATAATTTATTTTTCTTAGTTTCAGTAAGAATTTTCAGTTTGAAAGTAGCCGAAATTTGTGATTTATAATTTTTAAAAATTCATGTTTAGCTAACTTAAAGAACATCAAAAACTTAAAATGCTTAAAAAATTATTTAAATTGTTGATAAATCAGGAATCCAAAACACGCTGTTAACTTTTAAAAGGCCTCTTTTTCTCCAGATTGAACTCAACTGTCAAAGGGGTGCATGCGAAAGGGGAATATTCGAAATATATATTTAATAATTTTTATTAAATTCTCCTTATACTACTCCACAGTAGCCATCAAAAAACATAAAAAATTCAAGGCTGTTACTCAGTTTAAAATTGGGAAAAATGGCATGCGGTATTCAAAAATTTTTGATAGTCTGCCAAAATTATACCGATACAATTCTACAATCTACAATCAGAAAATTTTGAGGGCAGTTGATTATAATATATTAGTCTGCTTTATTATTACATTTGATTTCAAGTAATATGAATTTTTTTAAAAAAAAATAAAACGCAGGCAAATGTACAGTATTAAATCATCTATCTAAAACTACTAACCAATTAATCTTATAGCTTTATATTTTTGAGAAAAAAACTTTTTTTTTCAAGCGAGCTGTGAATTTCTTCTGAATTTCTTTTGAATTTTGTTTTAAAATGTATAAATTTTAACAATAAAAATCTTTCTACGCTACTTTATTTAATATTTATTCTCTATAATTACGCCAAATATAAGCAATACAGTCAAGTAATGTTGTGTCATTAATAAAAAGGAAAAAAAAAAAAAAAAAACAANTATGAAAGCTCTCAAAACAAACAAACAAACAAAAAAAAACAAACAAGAAAACGAAAATGGAACATTCAACCTAAAATCCAAGATGAGGGGGGGGGGATAGTTCAGTACTTCAGATAAGAGTAATGGCAAAATGTGAACTTCTCAACTATATTCTGTATGGTGTTCATTAATATTTTAGTGGATAGAAATTGCATAAATGCTTCTTCCAAAAACCTTCTGTTACTTTCATTGTAAGAGGCGAATACATTAATTTGAATGCCAGTTTAAGCTGCCGAGGGAAGAAAAAAAACTAAAAAGGAAGAAATTTTCAAATTTGTTCCCCTAAAAGAATCGATTTGTCCCCAGGAATAAATCCACCTTTGTTTATTCCACCTTTTGCAATTTCAAACTATGATAATTCGAAGTAGGGTTGCGGGGGGGCAACATAAACCATTTCATGATTTATTTGAATACGACAAAAATATTGCTTAATCTGAAAAATAATTTGTCCCGATTGTATATGTGGACTGATCGTTAAGACACGGTTCCCAGCAGATCACCGAAGTCAAGCATCACTGGCTGCGGTCAATGTACGGGTGGGTGAGCACTTGGATCAGTTTGCGTAGGGACCGAGGGTGTGCGGTATTGATCGTCGTTAAACTGTACTACCGTAAAGAGCTCGACTTCGTGTGCAGGTCGTTAGGCTACAGAAGCGGAGCTGCCATCCCCTCTGCAGAGGATCAAAATTGTGATGGCATGTCTTCGGATCAACCTCCGGGATGTTTCTCAGACCGTCGCCAATAGCCCATTGTGCAGCTCTAGTGCGACGTAAATTAACAACAACAACAACAAAATTAATGTATCCATTTTTTGCATCATTTTTGACCAGCAGGCTGTAAACTAGGTTTATCATTTCTGATGTGAATTAAATTTCAATTGGCTATAGAAATGGGCTACAGGTGGCGTAAAGCAGAGTTTTCTACCTACGGCAAAACTTTGCTTGCTTTCACTGTTAATGTGTGGAGGATGTACGATTGTTTTGTTCTTGATTTTTAAATACATTAAAAAGTTGGAAAACTATTTAGAATTGAAAACCACATTGAACATAGTTCTAAAAGAAATCGTAGTGGAAATTTACAGAAATATTGTTGACAGTTAAATAGGAAAAATATTAAGAAAGAGGAAAATATCGTAGTGCATTCTTACACAATTGAGAAGAAGAGGTGAGAGAAGAGGGGCAGTGTTCTCCTCAGAATACGTATTCGAGTGTTGCGATAGCGATTTGTTTAAATGTGACAAATTTCATATTAATATATATGGATTTCAATTATAAATTTTTTTGCTTTCATTTTATTTAGTAATCACAAAATCACAATTATTAACGCCTTTTATTACCCCGTTTTGTAATTGACCATTCACATTGTGAACACACAATTGATCCAGACGCGTATGCGACTGTTTAGAAATTACACATAGAACGAAATGCTTCAATTTACGTGCTATCGCAGATTCATAAATTTTTTCGAATTCATTTATTAATCATTTGAGAATTTGTATTTTTTTAATGAAATTTAAAATGCATTAGCTGTTATCATGCAGATTTAAAAATATATTGCTTTATATTTCCTTTTTATATTCTCTTATACATCGATTATGTTTTCCCTTTATATTCTATTTAGATTTATCCCCGAAAGATTCCTGAGCAAGAGTGCTTGATCCGCAGAATTGAAGAAAATTAATATTTCAATGTAAATAAAGTGTATGGTATATTTTGAGTGTTGTCCCGTATTTGGCTATATTTGTGTAAAAAAATTAGTTATTTTTTAGGGTTGCAACTTGCAGAGCATAGCATGCTTGCGGAGTCTTCCAAATTCATATGTTGTTTCTATCGTTGAAATTTAAATTGAAAGATTGTGTTATAATGTAAACGCTGCAATATAATAATATTTGATGGTGCCCTTTTTTAAGTTTAAGCGTAGGTTTCTTGATGACTTTTAATACCTAGCGCCATCAGTACTTTACTTTATTTATCCATATTTACCAATCAGACACTCATTTCCTTCTTTTAATTCGCTTACCCGAATTTTGAGTATGCAGTGTGAATAATCCCTTAACAAGTTCCTTCACCAGGTTGAGTTTCCCTAAAAGTAAGTTAGGATAAAGCGCAAAACTTGGTTTCTTTGAAATTGAAGTGAACACAAGTTATCATCTTACAGCACAAGATAATACCGCAAGCACGTGTTATCTTTTAGCCCGATAAGTGAATGTTATTCGTCTCATCGTGGTGTAAGGCAAGCCGTCGTTGCTCAGTTTTAATTTTTAGAAGATTTTAGATGTATTTCAAGAAATCAATCCATGATATTTTTAAACTGTTTACTAAATATCGTAAGTATTCATTTTTTGTATTTTACAAACTTTTCTTTTATTCTGAGTCATTTCTTTCTATTCTATGATGTAAACATTTTTGTAGATTAATGAAAGTTATTTTTATATTTTCTAAATATGATATTATTGACAAAATGCTATAGATGTTTATATATTTCATCAAAAATGATCGAGTATTGGCAATGTCTGCGTGTCAGAAATAATTTTTATCGTGATAATTTCAAATCGTACTAAAGGATGACCATGCGCTCAAGAGTTCTAAAATTGAAAATTAATTTTTAGTTATAATATTATCCTAAAAAGAGTTTCCTCTCATTGAAAAGGACAAATTTTTAGTACCAATATCTATCTACCAATAGACAACAAATTTTAATTAATACTAATATATTTTAATTATGATGAAATCCCCCCCCCCTCAGTCTCAAGATAAAAAATTCATCTCTTTTCTTATTAAATAAAATTTTCTTATTAATATTAAATTAAATGTACATTGAATCTATACAATGATACATGATATAATTTTTTAAAAAATTAGACTAATTACAGATTATTAGATTTTAGAGTTTTTGTTAACAATAATTTTATGTTAAAAGTAACCTGAATTTAACTGTGTACATAGTTAAGAATAAGTTAATTTTTCAAATGAATGTACGAATTATAAACTTCTATGCAAGTTCAAAGGGGCTCTTTACAGTTAAAGATTGACGTTATGTAAATTTGTTTCAGTGTAAACTAGGTTTATAAAAATAAAATTTATCTAACAAATGTTCGATTGCTGTATAATAATTGTATTAAGGGTATAATTTTTAAATGCAATGCAATTTCTGAGAAGTGCCACATTCCTTCAAAAATAAGACTTTTTTACTTAGAGGAGGAAGCACGTTTTCTTTTGTTAGTGTTGTAAAGTATCTGGCTGGAATAGTAAAGATTGTGCATTTTTCATTGATTCCTTTTAACTAATCATTTAGATCAAAAATTTTTTGTTTTGACTATTATTTCACTGTCGAAACTCATCTGCTGTAAATATTCAGTTTTTTTTTATTCTCTGATTATATGTTATAATTCTAGAATTAAATTTTTATTAAATGTTAAAAAAAGTACTGATCATACATGCCATTATTGTTAAAACTTTAATTTATATATATATATATATATATGTATATATACTTTTCAAGAGCATTTTGTCGTTTGCAGATAGTTTGAAATTTTTTTTACAATGAAGTTTAAAACCTTGACAATCATGGTTAAACCTTAGATAAACTTATTGTGAAAGTAGGGATATTTTAGAAGTTAATATAAAATTGCATGCATGCATTATAGTTTCAATTTTATTTTCTATAGTTATCATTATCACACAGTAATTCTCACTCATTATCAAAATAACAGAAGCTTTTGAAAAGTAATTAAAGACAATCTCTGAGAATACATTTTCTTCAAGAAAAGTGAATATATATATACAAAAAGAAGAATTGTAGGAGAACTTAAAGCATTTTTTTTTTATATTTTAGACTTATAATGGTCACTTAAAGGTGTATTTTTAAGTAAAAGGTATTTATTTTAAAATGATAGAAAAATTTTAAATCATAAAAAAATATATCAATATACTTCCTCCCAAATAAAGGATAAGAATATCTCAGTGTTGAATATTGTATGAATTTTAATTTTATAACTAGATGAAGTAAGAAAAATCTTACTAAAATTAAGGAATGAAATTAGAAGTTAGTTAAATAATTATCAGTAATTAAATAAATCAGAAATTAACTTTTCATTAAAACAGATAGTTAAGAAAGCCTTTTCCCGAAAAAATAAAATAAGGCGGTGTTTTTAAGAGATGGTGGCTTATTGAGGATGAACAAGGATCAAAAGGTAGACAAAGTGGGAAGTTCTAAGAATGCTTATGGAGAACACTGTAGTTATCATTATCAATTTCATTCAATAATGAGCAGAAAGAATTTCACATTATGTATTTTTACTTTTTAGAGTCACTCTGTACTCCAAGGATTTTATTCAGGTCATATACACAAGTGCCACGTCGAAGGAAAAAAAAGTAAATATTTTAATATCCTATTATAATTGATTCGCTTCTGTTTTAAGTTCTTTTAAAAGTGTTTTGTGTTGAAACTTTAAAATTAGTTTTTATCTTTCATTATTATGCTTATGAGTGTTTAACGCCTGTATGCGCTGGGGTCTCATTGAAACTTCTACTTTGCAAACATTCTAAGAGTTTTATTCAGTATCATTTATAGAAACTAAATAAAATTTTAGACTAAAGATGAGAAATTCCCACCCTTAGGAATTTTATATTACATTGTTTATGTTTTTTTTCTTCATCATATCTGGTATAAATTACATGTATCATGCAAAAAAGAAAATACTTAAGTGCAAAGCATTTCATAATATTACATTTTTAATATGTTTTGTCTGGAGAAAAAATATTGTTATTAGTCAGTACGAATAAAAATGTTATTAAACTAGCTTAAATTTTTTTTTAATGATCTATTATTTTAGAAAGTATAATTGTTTTCGTTACTTAATTTTAAAACCTTTTGGAAGGAAGACAGAATTATTAACCATTATTATTAATAATTCTGTCTTGCATAAATTTGTCATCTGAAAATTTTTTTGGCTGGATCTTGTTTAATACAAAAGTATTAACAATTATTATTATTCTAAATTATTATTAACAGTTTTTTACTTAAATGATTTTTTTAAAAAAAATATTCTGAAAGGTAAATCAAGTTAAAAGTCCATCTTTAATATCTTGATTTAAATCATTGAAATTTTTTTTTATGGCTTCTTGTACAATTTTTATAATGCCATCCTTGCTAATTTTTAGGAAGATGACTTGAAAAGTCCGGTATAAAGAATTTGGAAATTGTCATGATAATCTGCTATGCTTAGTCCATGTTTACTGTTTCTTAATCATGTTGCTCTGTATGATTAAATATATTACTGATTTTAAAAACTAATTAAACTTATAAAAAATTGCTGAAAAAGCATCCATTGTTTTGATTTTGTTCAGATTTTTGCATGCCTTTTTTTTAAAGCTATGTTTTAATTATTTTAATAATTGTAAATGTAAGTTTCTGAATAGTATATATCTCAGTAATATCTCAGTTTATTTATCCTTTAAATTTTGAATAAGAAAATGCTAATGTTTTCTGTGCAATTCATGCATTTGTTATAGTATATTAATGTCATTTATAACTTTGTTATTTTAATTTTAGTTCTTAAGTAGTTATATGTGACGAGACTTGTTCTACTTATACGAAGCATACTAGTTATGTAGGTCTTGCTGTTATCTCGGAAAATGTGGTACTTATTCATTTGGAATTGAGTTTCATAGTCCTGAAAGAATCTGTCAGGTAGGTAATTATTCTTTTCTAGATTATTTTTGTAATTCTTTCTATTTTTATCATATAGATAATAGTTCCTAACTCCTCATTTATATAAGGCCTAACGTTAAGCAAATGACTCCATATGAGGAATGAAAACTTGATTTTTCATCTCAGATTGTCTTTAAGGCACGTTGGTGTATAAAAGTTCGCCAGTTGGGTGTATATTATGTTGTTAGCAAAGTCGGGAAAATTTTGCTTATTTATGGTGGTTTAAGAATAAGGTTGTATAAATTTATTTAAAAAAATAACTATATGAAATTCCGAATTGGGACTCGAAATTAAAATGACTCATTCTTTGTCTGTTATGCTATATTCTAGCATTGTTAATATTTGTGATGAACAAAAAAATTTTTTAACTTTTCAATTTTTTACTATGTCATATTCAAGGAAATTATAAAGTTGGAATCTGATTTTTTTTTACTAATTTTTGTGATGTGTGAATCGTTTTATTTATTTATTATTTTTTTTTTAAAAACATGATTAAATTAATAAGGTACCTCAAAATTCACAATATTCATTAATTAACTTTTAAATTTTCAGATCTAATTTAAAGGCTTAGTTACTTTTATCTAATGGTCCTTTTGTATGTTCATTAATTATCTTGAGCTTGATTCTATTTTATTTTTATAAATTTTTTTATAGTGATTTTTATGCAAATTTTTTATTGTTCTAAATGAGAGATGCATGAAAGTTTCAATTTAGGAATTGTTAACAATATAAATTTGCCTAACTTTGGTTTAGCTAAATTTTTTTGATTATACAATTTAAATTTAAAACTGATGTTTATTATGAACTGCTGTACTTAATTATTTTTAATCCTAATATGCAGAACTTAAAAATAACGCTTGGACCATCACCGCTAAAATCGATGGGAAAGGAATGGTACATTGTTTCGATCTTATGTTTAGGTTTGTGTTTGTTTTGAGAAAAAAAACAATTCTTCATGATTGTGTCGCATTAGCCATCTTTTATGTCGTAATGTTTAAATTAAATTCAATTTATTAACTCTTTTTTTTAAAAATTTTAAATCATATAGAACAAGTGACCAAATTTCCTTATTTTTGTCCCTGCTGATGTGTAATTATCTTTTAGTTACTGGTCCTTAGAACAAAAGACAAAATTTCCCTATTTTTACCCCTATTGATGTGTAACTGAAAGCTTTGCATGAAATTTAGTCTGTACTGCATATCATGACAAATTGCTTATTAAAAATATTTATGAGATATTTTTATTTCAGCTTAATAAGACCTTAAAGTTGGTGTTCTACTGTCATTTAACCAGTATTCTAAATTGAAACAGACCACAACATTGAAGATGACTAGACGGCCCGATATTTATTATTATAAGATGATGGAACACGTTCATCGACGTGAAACACTTCTTGAGGTTGGCTTTCCTTTAATAGTAGAGCCAGATAACAGATTGTGCATCAATGGAAACAACTATTTCGAAGATGCAAACATTGAGAAGCAGAAGTGTCGTTGTCGGAAGACTGTTTCCCTTCTTAATGAAAATTGGTTTTATGCAAGGAATTGTCGTTACCATCCTCTTAAAGTAGATAAGAACTCCTGGACGTATAAATGCTGTGGTAAACCTTTCAAGTCTCCTGGTTGTGTATCTAGTGCCTTCCACACTAGCTCATACATTTCACTTTTTGGTGATTGGTATGTTACAAAACAATGGAGTACAGATAATTTCAACATCTTAGCTATGGATTGCGAATTTGTGTTTACTCAAGGAGGCATGGAAGTTGCTCGAGTGAGTTTAGTATCGTTGAAGAAAGGGGTTGTTTACGACACTCTTGTGACTCCAAACTACGAAATTCTGGATTATAACACCCAATTCAGTGGCATCACCCCTGAAGATTTGGCATATGGAAATGTTAAAACATTGTCAGAAGTTCAGTATGACCTTACGTGTAAGTTTTTAAGCTGTGATACTATCCTCATTGGCCACGGACTGCATTCTGATTTGAAAGGCCTTCACGTGTGTCATGAAAACATAATTGATACATCTATTTTGTATCCACACTTTAAGGGTTTGCCTTACAGGTACTCATTGGAGTATCTAGCTCAGGAATATTTGGGGATTACTATGCGCAATGGTGAATCAGGACATTGTAGCATTGAAGATGCTAATATTTGTTTGCAGCTTGTAATTTTGAAAAGTGAACTTTATCCTTTTCAATGTTATGCAACATGAACTTCATAGATTTTTCGACTTCAAATTTAATTTTTTGCTTTTTCACCATTAGTTATAATTTATTATAACTAATGGTAATAATTTATTAAAAGCAATTATATATATAATTGATTATAATTTAATGTAATAGTTTACATTAGATTTTTTTTATTTTTAACCTATCTGACTTTACTAAAAAAAAAAATCAGTTTTTTCTCAGATTTTAATCGAAATTTTTTAAATGAAGTTGAAACTAAAGCTGTATTGTTTTTAGTAAATACATTTTTTTAAATTTTTATTTCACTTTGCTGTACCAGAATTTATGGTTTATTTTTAAGCCTATATTTGCAAAGTAACTAACTTAATTAGTAAAGGACCTAACTCTGATTTGTAAGGACTTCATATTTGCCATTATAATGTTATGTATTTCATGCATAATACATTTTAAGATTTATTTACAGTTTGAGACAATGAAATATGTACTTTTTACTTTAAAAGATAAAAATGATAAATTTGTATGTCAATTTTTAAGACTTTGCTTTTGCAAATTTGACTGTTTCTTTGCTAATGCTAACTTTTAATGGACTTTTATGAGTGTATCATACACTTAAAAAGTTTTCTGCTGATGGGTAGAATGAAAGGGGTTTTGTTTGTTCATCTTATGGATAAATTATGCATCACTATTAATATTTTTCTATCCACAATATTTTCTGTAATTTAGAAAATATTTAAATGAGTATGTAGAATATGAATAGCATTTGGTTTTATTTACGATTATGGGTTTCTTTTTGTATATTTATTTTATGCATTTATGTTGTTTATTTTATGTATTATGTTCCTGGTTGTTAAATTCATAATTTCAGTATGGTGATGGTAATCCTTAATTTAAGGTATATGATCTCAAATTATAGAACTTTATTACTCTTATTATAATTTATCTCCTACTGTCACACTCTTGTCAATATTTATTTAATATTCCTCTTTGTTTTTTTTTTAGTTAACATATTCTTAAAAGTTAAATCTAAACTTTTGGAAATATAATGAAGAAATTAAATGTGCACACATAATGGAAATGACTTCATTTTTTTTCTCCCTTTACTTAGGCTATTTATAGTCTATGTATTGCACTGTGATAGTTGTATAAAGTTGTAAATAAATACATATGTGCCTATTTTTTATGTTTATTTTTTGAACTACAAAACGAAATGAACATCTTTTCACAGTGTACATTTCATTTTGTAGTGAAAAAATAAATATAATTTTTTTTTTTAATATGGTACAATTTCATGTTCTTGTATTCAAACTATTCAGCTAAATAACCGTCAATTTTTTTAAAAATCTACAATGAAAATAAATATTTTTTCTCAAAAAAAACTTATATTGAAATCTGATCAAGGTTTTCATTTTAATTCTCCAACTCTCTGAAACTATGGGTAAAATGTGCCTTAGAAATTTCACAAGTGTAAATATGTATGGTTAAAAATCATAAATTTTTTTATTGTGAGTTTTTGTAATCTGTATGTAATTATTATGTGACATTATGTAATTTATTTTATCACCATATGTAAATATGTCATATCTTTTATACTTTTTAAATGATTTTTGAATGAATTATTAAATAAATAAAATGAAAAATTTTAATTATTGTTTTGCTTGTATATTAATTTATGTATAGTCAGTAGTAGAAAAAAGAGAAAGAGATCGCTCTTATAACTTTTTAGCTGTTTGGCAGTTTTTTACTCTGTAAAGTGCTTAGAGAAATCTATAAAAACCGTGGCAAAATATGCTCATTTTGACCAAAAAGACAGTTTTCTGAAAAAGCATGCCTTTCTTTTCATCAAATTTGGATTTATCACCTCCAAAGTAAAGGGGTTGGTAAAGTATTTAAATGCTTACTACGAGGCGCATCCAGAAAGTAAGTTTCCCTAATTTGCTATAAAAAAAAAAAGAACTCACACTTTCCTGAACGTATTTATTGGTAACTAGTACAGCAATGTTTCAGCTATTTTTCAACAGAGCCACCACCAGAATTGAGACACTTGTCGTATCCTGGGATCAACTTTTGTATCCCTCTGTCGTAGAACCAGCATGTGATAAACAACTTCAGCTCTTTATCAATGCCAAAACGCTCACTGGAGGACAGGAATTTCTTGAGGTGCAAGAAATTTTTACAGAAGAGCTGTAGGGTGGCTGATCAAACAACTCACAACCAAATTCCGTCAAAACAGCTGCTGTGCGTGGTGCCATATGTAGACATGTATTGTCATGGAGGAGCGCAACACTTGCAGTAAGCATTCCACGACTTTTGTTTTGAATGGCATGTCACAATTTCCGCAATGTTTCACAGTAATGGTAAACTTCTATCACACGCTGGTTCCATTTACAGATGGCAGAGTTCATCAACAGAGGGATACAAAAGTTGATCCCAGGATACGACAAGTGTCTCAATTCTGGTGGTGGCTCGGTTGAAAAATAGCTGAAACATTGCTGTACTAGTTGCCAATAAATACGTTCATGAAAGTGTGAGTTCTTTTTTTTTTAAAAAATTTGGGAAACTTACTTTCTGGATACAGTTCTACTGCTGTAACAGTTTAAAATTTTGTTACTCGTTATTGTTAGATTATTTATGTATGTTAGGAATAAATCAGTTTATAATTTTTTTTAAAGTAAAAATAGATTAATGAAGAAAAATATTTCTTTTCTTAAAATCTTATGAAGTATCTGTACCGAAATTTAGTTTTAATTTCTTGTCGTATTGAGCACAGTTGATTAGATTTCGTTCCTGCTTTAAGGAAATATCAATAAATATTCTATTTTTATGTTTTTTGTACTGCATTTTAAAATATTGTGAAAAAATTTGCACTCCACTTATTAACACGTTGAATGCCATGGGGGTCGGTGGTGACTGCTGAGTTTGATCGTAGCGCCACGTGGGTGACCGGCGAAACGAAGATTATTAGGAACACATAATTCGAGTAAATTTTTAATGCTTTTAATTTTTTTATATTACTATTATCTTTACAAAAATGTTTTAAAGAAGTAAATGCAACGCATACTGAGAAAATCATTTTGGCCAGACGGGCAAGCCATGTAAAATTAGCATGGCATTCAACGAGTTTAACTTTAACGACTTTTTTTTTATAATAGGCCAATGTGATTTGGATGTGTGTAGAATTAATCATATTTTTCATAGAAATATAATTATAAAACGTTAATCTACCAATTTTAAAAAATGCAATTTAAAAACTATTGTATTTTAAAAAAATATGTCAGTGATCTTATTTAATGCCTTAATATGGATTTGCCATATTTCGAAAGGGTTATGGATTGTTTTAGCTTCATTTTATTATTAAAAGAAAAAAAGATAAATATAGAAAAAGCACTTTAATAAAAGAAATTACATTGCCCGGTAAGTAAAAATTAAGGTCACTAAAATTTTGTGAAAAATGAAAGAAGTTAGCCTCTATGATATTTTGTTATTCAAATTTAAAATAATAATAAAATAAGTTCCGATTGCATTTTATAAATTTACTCCCGAATTTCAAAATTGAGATCATGAGGAAAATGCTCCCATTTATAGTCATATCTTTACATTTTAACTATGGGTAAGCAACCACTTTAGTTAAAAAGAAAGAACATTCATATAAAACTTTTTACTATGAATATTTTAAGGTGAATGCAAATGATTTGCTTAACCAAAAATAATCCTTAAGGTTTGCACCTGTAATGAAAAACTTAATATGGCTGACAAACTTGGAAAAACGAATCGAACTTTACAATTACATAACTTCATCAGGGGTGGATCCAGAAATTTTTCCTGGGGGGGGTGTTAGACTCAGTCCCCCCCCCCACAATAAATTTTTTTTATGAAAAAAAATTTTTTTTTTTAATATTTTTTTTGAAAAAACAAAAACGGGTTTTTAATGCTAGTCTTCTCATTTATTTTTTTCATAATGAACAATATATACATAATTCAAGTATTCAAAATCTTTAAATAATAAATGTAATGCGTTTTTTAGAAACTTTGGCAAATCTGTCAATGATTTTTTCAACATCCAAATCAATTTCTCGATGAATGTTTAATAATGCGAGTCCATTTAATCAATTTTTGGTTAAACCTGTTGGAGCCAGAGCCGGATTATATCTTTCGTAGGCCCTAGGCATAGCCGTTTTTGGGCCTTCCCCGACTCCTCCCATCTTTTCAAAATATATGCTAAAATTTTCTTGCATATTTTTTGTTTACATTTTTATTAATATGGATTTTAATTTACAAATTTGTTTATCGAACTTTATCTGCAATACCGGCATACTGCCGATATTGCAGTTGATATCGGTAATACCATTATGATTAGTTCGATCGATAACTATGTAAACACTTCACGTCAACAATACAACAACAAACCAGCAAAGAAAACAGTGAAATTGATAGTGAGATTAATTACAAGAAATATTTATACTACAAATAGCTTCATAGTTTTCATGATACTACTATGATAACTAAGTGAAGGAAATTAACATTGTCAAAAGTAAATCTTTTGAAATTATTTATAAATAAATTTGCAAGGTAGGTTAAATGTTTACTAATAGAAAAAAAAATGATTTAATACTATTTTAATAAAATGTTAGTCACGTTTTTTAAATTGAGTCATTTTAGCAATTGACCAATGTTTCTTATATATATTTTTCAGGATCATAAATTATATGATATATTAACAGATTTTTGCAAAAGTGATATTGAAAAGGAAGATGCTAAACATGAGACAAGAAAATTGATTGTTCAATTAAGTAATTTTGAAACTGCATTTATGACCGTAATTTGGGAACATGCATTAAAACAAGTTAATATGATCACTTTAGCCCTCCAGGAACCAGGGATAGAATTGTGCACAGTAGTCAAATTGTACGATAGTTTATTACAACATTTTCAAAACATGCACACCGAAAAATCGTTCGACGAATTAGAACCGAAAGCACAAGTTCTTTTGCCGAATACTGAATATAAAATAAAGAGAACACGAAAACGAAAGAGATTTTTCGACGAAACAGAAGAACAAGAAGTAATTTCAAACTCGAATCCAAGACAAATGTTTTTGTCAGGAACGTATTACGCCATTTTAGATGCATTAATTTCAGAAATGACTAAAAGGCGTAAAGCTTACAGTGTTTTGTACAATAATTTCAGATTTCTTGTTCACAAAAATTTGTCAAACTCTGAGATTAAGCTAAAAGCGCAAAATCTGGTGAAAATTTACTCATCCGATTTAGAGGAAAACTTTGTAGATGAATTTTTACTATTTTCAAATTTGTATGAACATAAATCTGCACAAGAAATGTTGAAGGATCAAATTAAAGATAAACTTGTGAATACTTTTCCTAACGTTCACATTGCATTAAGAATATATTTGTCGATTCTTGGATCAAATGCAGAAGGAGAAAGATCTTTCTCCAGATTAAAATTGATAAAAATTTATTTGCGTTCAACAATGAATCAAGATCGTTTGGCATCGCTTGCACTTATGTCTATTGAATACGACATTTTGCGTAGTTTGGAGTTCGACAGCATAATACAAGATTTCGTTGAATCCAAAAATCGCAAAAAAGTAATATATTAGATCATAAGATTCTGCAAAATAATTTATTACCGAAAAATATTATATTTTTATTTGTATCTTCATAATTTTGTGCAAAATACACTTGTTGTTTTTAAAGCTAAATTATTTTTGTCAACAAATTTTTTTCTCCCAAGTTTTTCGTAGGCCCTAGGCACGTGCCTAGTGTGCCTATAGGTTCATCCGGCCCTGGTTGGAGCACATCAACATTATCAATGTTTACAATGAAACTATGACGAATTTCGGAAATCTTTTGGATTATGATTCTTGAAACAGTGAAGAACACAATTAGATGGAAAAAAAAAATCGATTTTTCCGACCTACGTAGGTGTATATACCCCCTTAAATAAATTTAAAAATATCTTACTTCTATTGTAAACTATCAAAAAATTTTTATTTTATTTTTTGGGGGGGAGGGGGGTCTTGACCCCCCTCCGCTGGTTCCGCCACTGAACTTCAGGTTGTTACTATTTCCAATACCGACAAGGTAGAGATAATTGTGCTCCGGAAAAAATCCAGATTTTCCGCTAACCGCGATCCGGAAGTTTCCGGGAATCCAAGGTCCAGAAGTTTCAAGAAATCATCGATCGCATTTACGTATAAAAATTTTGTATATTCTATTTAGAAATATTAGAACTAAAATTTATACTAAGCATCTCTTTTATTTGTAAATATTTTTTCTGGTAGAATAATAACTGTGATTAGACACACAAGTAAACTTATACCATATCTATTCATTTAAATTATGCTGTATATAATTTATTTATAATTGTATGTTTTAAAAATATTGGTGATTTCAATTTATAAAGACATTAATTTTTTTGAAATGCGTCATATTGATTCAATGTGTCACTAAAATACTACTCA